GCTCAGCGATTAAGATTCAGATAATCAAAGTGAATAATTTATAAACCAATAAACATTACATTCTTAATCACAAGTCTCGCATAATCAATCACCATAATCGATCAGGTAATTTTATTATAAAATGCATCGATGATCAATATAACTCACCAACTTCATTCGTAACGTTCGCATGTAACTCACCACTCGTTCGCTATGCCTCTCAACAAATCGCTATTTCAAACCTTTTTATAATTGTGGTTATGCATGCGTCGACATCCCAAACGGATCTTACTACCTCCATTCTAGCTGGAATATTAACACGATCATCCTTACCAAATCCGTAACTTCAATCAGTTTAGTGAAGCATGTCGCTACTTTTTCAGACAAAAACTGCATGTGATGATTGATATTCCATGGTTAAGTCTGTATGAATCCAGATGCTGAGCGAACCATAATGCATACATCTTAGCGATTTGGCATACGAACTGGCGTTTGTACGATACAGATACCAGATTCCAGCATAGAAATGAAATGCGTTCTCCAAAAGCCAGAAAAACTACCAGCGGGTTGCGATTTTGGATTTTGCGCATTTCATTGAACGTTCGAAAACTATTTGATAATGATATTGCAGTTATAGTTTTTTCCCGTTATGAGTAATTTTTGTTGGTACAGAGTAGTGATGGCATCCGACGGCATCCAAGTGAAATTTCTTGTCGGCCGGAATTCTGATCGACTGTCAGAATTGTTCAGTCGAAATACGACCTAATTGATCTTTTGAATTTCAGACAGTCGGAATTTCGAGTGAGCTTCCAAATTATTCGGTCGAAATCCGAATGTCAGAATGCCAACTGAAATTGTCGAAGATCTCTGACCGACCATCAGTAGGATGCTATTATATCACTAACTACCAATCGTATTTAATGGACAAATTCAAACGCTTACATTAGTTACAATCTTCGTTCCCTGTTGTCACTATTACGAGAGCAACCGACATTGCGCACAGCTTCACTACACAACCAATCAGCATCACCTTATTGTTTCAGTTCTTATCACATGCATTCGATTGAATTTTCAATTAAGTCAATTAACATTTACATTTATTCGCATCAACTCATTCCTTACATCTTGCTCCTAGAACCTGTAGGTATTTTTCTTATTGATGGGTAGATAAAAGCAATGATAGTCAGTATCATTGAGATTTGCTGAAGAATGTGATGATAAACAATTTACATGAATCTCTAAACAAACGCGAGTCTTCTCATCAATAAATATTTCATCAGTGCGATTTTCGAAATCAAAAACTCAAACTGGATAAAATTAAAAATACCGTGAGTAAATAAAATGAAAAATACCGTCAGTATTCTATGGGCACTCAAAAGGTTTGTTGCTGAAGAAACATTCCCATTTCAGCCTTTTCAATGCCCAGTTATTACTATCGTGAAGCAACTAGCAAAAAATATATAGAGTGAAATATCATCAGAAGAACACATCAAGTCGCAATTGCACTATTTGTCATCTTTGAGAGCAAGACAGAATCTTTAGAACTGATGGATAATTTTGCTGAAAAAATGTGTTTGTGACGTTTCACTGCTGAATAGTTGGAAATTGAATACAAGTAGAGTGAATATCATTTATGTCAGATACTGTTCCATTATCCGTACAAAAAATAATGTGCACAAGCGATTCTGTCACGAAGCCGTTAGTTTGAACTCCACCAAGACTTGAACATCACATGGCATTATTTCGTTCATACGACAAGTTATGTGCTAAGAAAAATTGTTCGACAGGAACAGTTCAAGTTAGTTATTGATTTCTGCACACAAAAAGGATACACACATGCAGCAATCCACTTTTGGATGTGGGAAAGTGGTAGACCATTACAAACATGCATAAATAACAAAAAAGGTTGTTGTTCTCATCGGTACAAGCTCTCGCTTGATTGTCGATTGGTTATTGGTGATAACTATCTTATTTTATAATTGTCTGTTTCTACGAATAAATCATCCAATCTGATCGGTGAGGCTACCCCAAAAAAATACTCCTCCTCTGGAAATACTCAGCGTTATTGTAACTGTTTTTATTTCGATTTATTCATTACCATAGTATTTATCCCGTCATTTTGCTTATCAAATAAACAACTTGTCGAGCAACTGAGACACCTTCAGAAAATCAGCTTCGGAATGAATAAATTAAATTAAATTCTCTGAAGGTAAGCAAAACTGCTTGGCAAAATATATACCTTTCTGAAAGTAGAGAATCTGAGAAGTTTGATGATGTGAAGAAACCATCATGTTACTGGGCAAACCTGAGAAGACCGATTGTTTGAATATGATGACTCTCATTCAGCGATGTATGCATTGATCAATAGAGATGCAGTTTACTGAAACGAGCACCTCCGAGCAACTGAGACACCTTCAGAAAATCAGCTATTTGTCCAAATCTAAGTAAGATCGCCCGGCAACATGTGTACTTTTCTGAAACCAGATTGTATTTGTGATATGGTGGTTACAGAGAGGCATAAATCCGCAATGAATCATAACTTCGATTAAATAAATAGATAAAATATTGTAAATTGTCTTTGCTGATTTGAGTTTATGAAAAGCGATTGTAATAAGGATCTTTCCTAACTGATCACAACCACGTTTCTGATGATGATGGTAAATCTCACTTGTATATTTGAGAAAGGGCTCCCACAATGTTCACAAGCTCATGCCTAAACTAAGAGGATATTAAGCTGAAGGGAATGAGGAAAGACATGAGATTTACAATAGGTTTCACTGAGAATAATATTGATCTATTCATCAAATTTTAAATTATGTCAATCATAATCTCATTGCATTTCATAAGTTTCTAACAGTTGCGAGTCATATATACGTTGTCGAGCGATTTTGTTTGCTACAAATAATATCAACGATTTTCCGAAGCCATCGCAAGCAGCTGAATGGCCCATTCCAATACATTGTGTCTGTATTGATCAATGTATACAAGAGGGCAGTAATATCAAGATTACCATATTCAAACTAACGGTGAATGCTATCCAGCACGGATTCATTTCAGGTTTTGCTTACTCAGTTTCTGTTCATTCATTTCAGTTTATTACTTTTTTGTCGGAGAGCAAAGTTATTGACCTATTCTTCACGTCAGGTGAATTTCAGTTCGTATTAGTATGCATTTGACTTCTACTGCACAACAGGTCAATACTCTTCAGTTTGGTTTCATTTCAGTGAGTATAAATTTGCAATTGACCTATTCTTTACCTCAGGTGAATTGATTATATTTGTACTATGAATCCAAACTCTGCCCAGTTGTTTAGTGTTTATCATTGGTTTACTTCTCGCTGCATGGATCACATTTAGCTGCGAGCATGTTTATTTACTCAAATTGAATTAATTCAAGTTGAAATACTTCTCATTGTTCAAGAAGGCAGTTGTTATTATGCGGAGACAGCTGTGACAGTGTGCCGCGAGGCGCGAGTGATTCATTCTTTTGCATTTTCTCACGGACATCATAAATAATAGCAAAATCGAAGAAGCTGATAACTGCCCAAGCAAAGCGAAATTATTCCTTTCGACTTCATATGAGCAACACATTCTGCGCAGAAAGCAACAGATCGAAGGAATTGATAACTAAATCCATTACGGAAAGGACAATCAAGTCAAAACATCATTCCTGATCCATGGAAAAGGGGCGCAATCTTCGACGGTCAAATTGCATAAAAAGGTAGGCTGCCTACATTACAATTTGTCTCTGATTCGATCATTCGAATACTTTATTCCTAGAGGCAACCGTCTCGACAATATATTCTCGGAAGCGATTGCCTCAACAACTGTGTTCTTGCAGGCAATCACCTCAGGCCTCCTCGACCCAAAGCTCAGTATCGTGCAACTTCAGTCATCATCATTGTCGTGCTACCCGAAACCCAGACGTCATCAAGTGATCCGCGATATAATATTGTGTTGGCGTAGTGTCCATCTTCTAAATCAGCCTTCTTTCTAAGCGCTCATCCCTTTAGGAAAAATTCTTTTTCCTTCACACAATGCCTTCATACATGCGATGGCTAATGCGTGGATTACTCAGTTACGATATTGTCACAAAAAATTTAATTGTTAATGTTTCATCTGAATCGTATTTGTCCTGTAATATTGATGCTTTGCTTCAAAACTTTATAGTGCTATTATCGGTGTTTTGTTCAATAAATTATGAACGCATTCGTTCAAAAACAATGTGTTGAACACGTGAACTTTTATATTTCAAAAGCCGTAAGATCCCGGGATTTAATCTCGATCCTGGCGTTGCAAAAATGATCGTCATTTTGTAAACTCTACTTGCACCATTATATTTGTTTTTATTGGTGAGATTATCAATGATTGTGTGCAGTAAGTGCAATATTCACTGTATCATTTGAATTATCAGAACAGTTGTCATTGTTCCACGACTGAGTGTTACATATGTGTAAGCAAGTTCAGATTCTCTCTATGCTCACAACTGGCTTTAAAGTATTCAGATGAGCAACAAGTGTGCAATCGCACATTTCGTTTGGGTCATTCAGACGCTATAAAGCGTCTTTTGTCGTGAACATTGTTTCATTTCTTTCATCAATTAACGCCTCTTTTACTCTTGTGAAATTTATCCAGTGAGTTTTCGAATGAGTCATACAGTGCGAACCATACTGAAATATATTAAACCTGGCACCGGATATCATTTTTCAAAATTCTATAACCTGAAAGCGTATGACGCACCCCAAAAAGATTACTAACTTTGAGGATCAAGTCATCAGAAATACGAACTGGCTAGTTGAGAAAACTGTGCAAAAACAAAATTGCTACAAAAAAAACGTTCGGAAGGTTTTCAAAGCATTTATATGGTGGATTAGAACTTGTTCCTGACATATCTTATGCAGTAAAACACCGTCGCGGTGATGAAATTCTTTATGATTTTTGAAATTCTTTATGATCACAACAAATCAATAACTGATAGCATATCAAAGAAAATTCTGTCAATCGATAACAAAGTACCAGCTCTTAACGAACATTAAACAATACATAGAATAAGAGGCCAATAAAAACCGATACTAAAAGGGATATCCCATTAGCATTTGTGGCATTTTTAAGGAACCACAAGCATCCATCTGATGCATGCTGCAGATGAACTCTGAATGAGCCTGCTGATTTTAAGGATATAATGTTTTCATTAATGTCCTTTTCCGTGCCATGCTCTTTCGTCACGATCTCAGCGTTCATATGGAACTTCGATACACCGGTTACTCGCACTTTAAGCACTCTACCCAAAATTGATTTGTCATCCGAAGGTAGTAAAAAATGCTCATAAGATTTATTGTGCGCAACAAAATGATGCTTGTCAGTAGCCCATTCAGCAACCAAAACATCATATTCCATACCGATTCGATCCTTTCCATAACGTGAATATGAACGAAACAACGACGACATTAACGCAGTCCTTCGGCGTGCCTAAATTGTAGTTTGGTTCAAACTTGAAAATGTACTAGCCGTTTTTGAAATAGCACGAATTACGACGCACAGCTCAGTTATTCCCGTCGATTAAAAAGTGATTTTTCAAATCACTCGAACTGTTCATTCATCATGATTTCTCCACTACTATCGGCCAAGCGAGTTGGCAGCAAGCGATAATTGACAATTGACAATATGCAGTTCTTCTTAAAACTTGAAAAAGAGTTGTATATTCAGTTGCGTATACCCAATTTATAAACCTTTTCAGAAAATACGCAATTCTAGACGAGTATCACTTCCTGATTCCTCAGCAATATTACAGATGTTTGTTCAATGATCAAAAAAAACCGGCAATGCGGATGACTTTGCAAAAGAAAAAACAAGTTTTACCTCAACTGTGTCGATTTTTTTGAGTCTCGCGGCAGGCGTTCCCTTTCTTGGATAAAACTGATTGATGAATAATGAAGGGAAACGATATTTGCGTACCATTTCCATGCTCTCTTCAAAGTCTTCAATCGTCTCACTCGGAAACGCACAAATAAAATCTGTCGCTATATAAACATTCGGAACACTGCAAAAAAGTAATCCTTTGCTCGTGAACTAATGTATGCATAAGAAACGAATATTGATTACGAAACCAAGCAGGAAATATCAAATATTTTTACACGAACAAATGATTCATTAACGAATCACATCATTAATTCGTTTCGAGTAACATATTCGACATCCCATCTACTTACTTTTCCAGCATGAAATCGACGACTCGACAAAACTCATCACGACAATATTCACGTTTCATGTCACTAAGAACAGCATCGCTCGCTGACTGCACCGGAATGTGTAGGAATGAATATACACGCGGATGATTCAATATATCAGCTATTTCCTAGAATGAACAAAAATGAAGTCGACTAAGAACAAATCATACATAAGAACAGAGTTAATATATTGATACTACTACCATTTCATACAAAATCTGAATAAGTCATCATTCAACATATTTAAAAGTTACATTAAAACAATGACTTAAAAATGCAGATTTTGAAGTAGATTCAAAATTCGGAATCGTTCGAAAACATTCGATGCAATTAACTGCAAAATAGCGCCATGCAAATGAAGAAGCGATTTCGTTATCCGCTGTCAAGGAATATGAATGCTTTCGCATACGTTATAAATTGCTAACAGCAATATAATTCCCAACGACATTCGATGCTTCAAAGGATGAGGAATACCTGCAAGAAATCGAGAATGTAAGGTGGATTCGTCATTCCCAATCTCATCATACATCCGTCTGGGATTATCTTCACGAGTTCATTTAACAGATCCGGTAAAACCTAAAAAATTCACAACGTGAACTTGCAAATGAATTAAAAATCGAACGTAAAAACACATTATGTATTTTATATTAATTTATGCGATAAAAATCCATTCAAACATATTACCACTCTAAAAAATTGATATCTATTTCATTCTATATGATATATAAAATCTGATAATATCAATTATTATCGGGAACGCCTCCCTTATAAACAGACCATGCCAATATCTCGACCCCAAGCACCGAGATCTTCAGATGTCAGCCAGAGTTCACAGCAACCGTCCGCAAACGCACTACGCGCTTGCTCTAACAGCTCGTCAAGCGGGTAACTTGAGAGATCGCCTCTCGCTTGTTTTGTCTTACAATACGTACAATGATTCAAGCAACCACTATTGATAGCCAAAACCTGAATGAATTCAATATGTTGAAGGACACGACTGATTGTACCATATACCATTACCTATTTATAATTCATGAAAGCATCCAATGAAGCGATGCAGTTTCACTTATTTTAAACAAAAAAATCGACTTGAAGTCGAAACAATATTTCTGCTATTATAGGTGAACACAAACCTTTTTGTCATAAAACAAGTAAGGTTATTAAGACGCACATCTTACCTCAATGAGATTATTTCTTCGCATTTTTGGTAAACTCAGTTTCTGATGAGGACGCCGTTTGGATAACAATCGAACACAGTTACCCTTGAAGGTCTCATCGACAACTTCTACGATTCGATCGGTTTGCTTAACACCAACGATAGAAATTCCTTTCAAGAACTCAGAATCCGGCTCTGCCTACAATTCAACTGCCATGCAACAAAAATTGCATATTGCATTAGTGCGACAAGAGGGTTCGAATATATCACCACTTTTGATGAAAATCGAGTTTTGGACGATGAAAGCTGAAACAATAACAAAACACAACACTTGGATACTCCCGCAAGATGCGTATTTCGAGAACTGCCTTGACGAAGAGCATGTTTATAGGTCAAAGTTACTCTATGTAACGCGAAATTTTCACGACGAATTTATCGGCGGAAAATTGGAACCTGCACAGTTAACACAAATTTACCTGAGAAACACATCCTGCCACTACTATTAATTTCCCAGTTTTCTGTGCCTCCTTTACGTTGTTTTCCAATTGTACTTCAGATGGCGTTTTAACTGTACAACTATTCAATATCCACAAAGATGCATCTTGCTAAAAATGTTAGACATGTAACTGAATGTTACGAACGGCCTATAAACACATCATTTGCTCATCTTGTTCCGTTTATCAATACGGCAATATCTCATATACGACGCAAACGGCTTAGAGGCGGGAGAAGCATATATAGAAGGTGCAAATTATAATGAAGAAGACAATCTGATCCAGCCCGGTTACGCTCGATGACACTACTTTTAGATGGAAATATTAAAATTAAATCTCATTTTGTGTTTGCCTTTTTCACCTTCAAAATTGCCAATATTAACTCCACATATGACAGCGTGCGGTTTTTGAATAAACAATTTTCGAAAAGTATGTTAGAAGGAACGTGGGCTCGAAAAGAGAGTCAGCAAATGTGTAAAATCGATTTTCCACGTAAAATTAAAAGATTGTTCATGAACATCAAAACATTAACCTTTTCACTTACGATATTATAACCAGCCGCTAATAACAAACCGCTCATATATTCCGAATCACTGGCGTTATGCGCACAACCCCAAGTACGTACATATACACGACGTGTGCCTCAAAACAGCAAAACGTGAATCAAAGCATTCCATCAAAAATTGAGAATGTGATCTCAATATCTTTAAAAACGACTGACCGTTAAATGTGAATTAAACAGGAAAAAAGTTTCAAAAGCCACCTGGCACAAAACTATCGCCGTGAAATGGCTCATCAGTTGCTTTGAGTCGTTTTTTGATCTTGACCGTTGCATCAAATTTACTTGTAAACCCATTGCTGACATTTTCAAAAGTATCCTCGATATCAGCCATGCATAAATGTCTCTCAACGAAGTGAGATTCGTTCCCTTGAATGGGGCGGTTATATGAGTGAACAATCATTTTGCATATAACATTCATTCCCAAACGAAACACTCTGCTTAATTCAATAAGGAAGTAGAACGACCTTTAATGAATAGTCAACTAAACGAATCGTTGATCAATATCCATTGAAAACGTATGTATAATGTTAATTTTCAGCTAACAACCACACTAAATATTCAGCAAAGAAATCTGAATTCAATAGATCAGCATCGATGAATGGACAACGAAGAAATTTCAAAAGAAAACAAGCAACAAAGTGTATGTAACACGTTTGTAGGTATTTATTGTTGCAGAGCAAAACGAGAAAATGAAAGTCAACCATATTCGAATGAACACAATAATAGAAGTCTGAACAATGAACAAACAATAAATTGAAATATTCAAAAATAACAACAACAACAACAACAACAACAACAATAACAAATAACAACAAAATACCAACCACCTCAAAAATTTCATAAAATACGTCATACAATTAAGAGTTTTGACAATGACAAACATAAGGAAGATATTAGTAGAATGAGCAACTTGGGACTATGAGTGAGTAGAACTCGGTCAATCAATCGCTTGAATCGTGAAAGTTTTCAAAAATATATAATGACTGAACGTGGTACCTAACGAAGTTTTTGTTTTCACGCAAAAATCGAAGTGCAATATTTTCGCAGACAGATCTCATCCATTACAACAAGATCCATCGAACAAGGAACAAATTGAATAGCGCAAAATTTTGATACAAAAAGAAGTTTGGTACAAATAGCAGTACAAAAGATAGTGAAAACATGAACAAACCAATCAAAAATTATATATTATAACTTATAAGAATACTGAAAGCATGGACGGGTAGACAGGTAAAACGAACCCAACATAAAACTATAAAACAGAATATACATGACTTATTCGGGCACCACTTCAACGGTCGAAAACGAAAATGTGATAAAAACTGAGCCAAGTTTTCAGTCAGTAATTAACTGCTCATTGATGTATACATAATAAACATTTACCATTAACTTTTCAATTGATTCGCTTTTCGAAATAAAATTCACTTCTTTTAAATGGCTCATTTTTTTGCAGTATTGGAAATTTTCCTCGATTCATGAATATCGAATAGTTTTACAAAAGTCGCACAAAATGAAAGGTTAATGTAGTTTCAAACAGATACAACAATTTGATTAGTATTAACTTGCGTAGTTTGTTAGAAACACTAAAAAATTAATATTGTTAGAACAATAAAATTAGTGCAATTCAAAACGCTATGATAAAAGACGGACTAGCTAACAACACAATCGATCTTCTAATTACTTCACGCACCTCGTGAAAGGCAATCCATTTTTTAGTTGATTTGTTTCGAATGCGCATACGTTTGAGTGAATAGAGATTTGGAAGTGAAAAAATATCTCTCCAGATCCCTCTCAAAGATACGTTGGTTGAATTCAATTCGAATTTATGCATTATATTTTGATTTTGGTTGTTCAGGGATCTGTGAAAATATGCACGTAACGGAGTGACAGCGGTTCGGAACGTCACACGTTCCTAGACTAAAAATAGTAGATAATCAGAAGTGCTATAATGAAAAATATTTTTAAAAGGCCACAAAAGTTGCCAATCAGAAGTGCTGCAAACCATTTGACAAATGGTCAAGCAATGCGATAAAATACTGCTTAAAAAAAGATGCATGTTAAGCGAATAAAACATACTCCACAAGGAATCATGGAAATGAGCATACCAAATAGTATGAAAGAATTGATAAGCAATCAAATTCACTCAAATAAAGGGTGTTTGAGATCGCAAAGTCAAGACGGAAATAAAGGAGTATGTATGGCTGATGAATTCCATAAGCGTTGCACGACTGAATTGTCAATCTTGAATTGTGGTACCTTCGCACTAAGTGCGAGCAATGGCCCCAACGAACTCATCAAGGCATCCATTAGTAGATCCAACGTGCCTGCTACCGTGCCTGGCTCGTCTGCCCTTGAACGAGAGCTTTGATGAACGTCCAACAAATTTATGATGATGTATCAGTGATGAAATAGTACAGACTGATGAGCAGTTCAACGGATTAATTTATCAGAGATAATAACTTAATCCGTTCAACTGTTCAATTGAATTACCATGAATTTCATAGCACAAAGATTTGAAAGTGCACATCAAAAAACGATATGTGTTAGCGATGCATGTAAAATGCTCAGCTATTAATGACGAACCGTGTACTAGCAGCAGCATTCATGGCATTTCCAATAAGACGCATAGATGCAGCAACATCAAGAACTTGTGTTGACCATTCACGTTCAGGTGATGCTTCTTGACGTCTCTTCTCAGAGATCCACCATCTGCATCGTTGTTCCATTGCACTCGCACGCCAACACATTACTTCTGCGGGCAACGGTGAACAAGCTTAATTCATCTACCATCATAAAATCATATTGGCTTATAATTTTATTATAATACATTTATTTCTGAATTTGCTAATTGTAAATCAAACTCATTTATACTTACATGATTGCCGTGAAATATCGTCCCTCAACCGCGACTCTCTTTTGTGATACCTTCGCTTGGGTTTATCACTCTCATTTCGCGTATCGTTTTCTGACTGAATAAAAGAATGCGCATAACATCAGCACTCTTAAATGTTCTACCTTTTCACTCATCGATAAGCTATTTTCATACACTGAATGCTAATAACTCAAATGCTTTTTTGCAAACAATAATATAAACTTAATATGATTTGCTTTCGCCATTTTTCAACAATCACTTTCGGCAAAAGCAAGTTTCTGTGGAGGAATACAGGCACAAGAGAGTAGGATCAGGTATTTGCAATTGTATTAACTGAATGCAATTTAATCAACCATAGTATCATTTGTTCGCTTCTTTGTCTTCATTTTTAACTTCGTATGTACTTTTGTTGATCGACCAGTTTTTTTAGGACTCTTCTCGCACAACTGAAAACTCAACGAATGAAGCAATGAACGAATTCGACATCGTTAGTTGTGTGCATGAAATCAATGAAAGGAGAGAATTCAAAAGCTCCACTGAATCAATCTGTTTTTCATAAATTCAAGAAAAATTACAGGCAACGCTGCAGTGATGTAAGCGTTTTGAGAGTGCGGTACGCCAATACTTGCTGAACATCCATGAACAGAATTGCTATCAGCAGCATCACCTTTTGGTTTAATCTTTAGCGCAAGATCCTTCCAACGGCCTTTCTTCCCAAGATCCTAATAAAAATGAATAAATATACACTGATACTATCTTCCACATTTCGTCTGATCAACTGTTGAATCGCCTAAAACTCAAGCACGTTGACTAGAACAAACCTTTGGAATTTCTTCATTACTTCGAACCCAGCCATACCACTTACGGCATTTCTTATCAACGCATCTCCAACTGCAATTCAAAATTTTTAGAAGGTTCCGAAAATTGTTAATACACTGATTTGGGCAAGTTCATTGCGCCCACTAGCAGTCGTGAAATGTGCTCAGCTACACGCTCACTGAAAAATGCTAAGAATAGCATGACATTATGCTTGTTGCATTCCTTTACTTCAGATGAATAGGACTTAAAAAAAACCGAAATAAAGCATCTAACCGGTGTTTATTACCACCACACATTTGTGGCCTCACCTGACCCCCGCAAAACGCACAATGCCGTTGACCATTTTCAGAAACTGGTGGCGTTTTTTCAACTTTGCTAAAAATTTGATTAGATGAAGACGGCAAGCAATGAAACCTCTCACTTGCAATTGAATAAAACACGATCTCAGTCACTCAACGACAATATTTCAGTTCTGTTCACCAACGAAAAACGATACCATTATAAGATAATTATTATCTTGAAATTACTCAAAAAAAAAAATGGAAATTTACTTTTCAGCTAGCACAAACCATAATGTATTCATAAAATTAGGTATGAATATGAAATGTTCAACATAAACATACTAAGACTTCGGTCGACCTGTACCAAGTTGCCGTCGTGGTAGAATTGGTTTGCCATTTGGAGCAATATTTTGTGACAAAACTGGATGATGATGTTGTTGTGAAGTTAATGGTTTCGAATATTTTGAAAAAGATGACTTCGAATCAGAAAAACAAGTAGAACTGGATGGAAGCGTGGTTGGTTGAGCTGTTCTTGTGCCTTGTGGCAACAACGAAGGTGCTGCTAGACTAACATCTATTGATGCCCAATTTGCGTTCTTTTCATTCGTATTTAAAGCTGAATTCGATACTGCTGCGGTTTTTTCGCTATCCTCCTGTGGCATTCAAATATACAGCACATGGTCGAAATTGAAACTCCAGAAGCAAGTAGGTTAAATGTTCTGTTTTATACCAAGTGTTCACAAAACTTATAGACAAAAGAATGGAGAAATACTTTTGAGATGCAACTCAAGAAATCGTTCCTATATTGTTTTCCAATAAATGAGTGAAATTTAGCTGGATACAGAAGAATAATTTGAAAATATATGAAACAAACCGGTTTTGGTAGCATTCTGCCAACACACTGATTGAAAGCCTGCGAAGATGTGGATGGTAACGAAGCATCCATACCCTGTGCCACAGACTCCTCTGCAGTGCCATAAGGATCGTGTGTTCCGTTCCACTTCAGGCACGATTTACCCGTACACCTATTAATTCGATTACTTTTAAACGTGTCGCGTTGAATGACAAACACATGTGTTTACTTTTTTGTTTATTGATGACAGACATATCACATTTATCATTTAAAGCAGAATTTATATGAGAATATTCATTATCATATAAAACTGAAATAAGCCGAGTGAAAGTACAACAAATAATCGATGATACCTCCATTTGAGACCGAACAGTTCACATTCACAACCACAATATGAGCAACATTTATTGGGTGCAGGCATCGGCAAAGGCTCTTCGGGTGTTGCAGGTCGCTCCTCTTCGCTCGGTAAATTATCAATCGCCGACAACAATTCGGCTGGATTGAATTGGACTGACTCTAATAATTCATCAAACACATCTGACATCCCAGAAAACAATCTTAAAATATTAATTCGATATACTCTAATCCATAAATAATGTTCATTTCCATATTTATTGGAAATCAACTAAGTGACTGATTCTTTTCAAACATCAAACACCAAATGAACACGAACCGCATACGACAAGATGACGATGTGCTGGATGACCGTTCACGGCTCGGTGATCGAACTGATGAAATGAATTCTTCGAAAGCTTTTTGTTTTTGCAATCGTTTCGATGATTTTGTATGACTATCAATATCGATATCAGCGTCTAAACCATCCAACAACGATGTGAGCGCACCATCACACAACATCGGTGAAAATGCTGTATCACCCTGAATGACTTTCTCATTTCTTCATTTAATAGATTTACGCTCGATTGTTATTTTCGATCGCTATATGCGTATCCTCAGTTCATCTTGATGTATTCAGCAATCTGCTCTGCGAAAAATTATATATGAACAGATATCGTAAAATTAGGCAGTATTAACGTAGCAAATGCGCTGTACGAATGTACTTTACACGTGCATGTTGGTTAGAAATAATTCGTACTACAAACGTCCTCTTGGAACATAAACTGGCTAGCTGAGGTGTACACGGATGTTCTTTCACCCTCAATAACTCTCATCGTCCAAATGATTCCACCCAAAAACACTTTGTAAAGCACTCACCCCTACCTGCCCCTAACAATAAAATTTTCATTTACATGTTCGAGTCGTATGAAAACCTGAACTTTTCGGCCAAAAATGCGCTTATAAGGGGTTCTTAAACTGATTTAAATGGGTGTTTTGGTTCGTTCAATTATTCATTTGTGTTCAATGGCTTTTCCACACCGTGCAAATCCTCCAAAAATGCGTTACTCGCTTCGATGAAAGCACTCTACAAAAACTTGAGTAAATTGCATCATTTTCAGTTCTTAATCAGTTCAATACGGTATACTTAATGAAAGAAGTACCTACAGCTGAATCGAATCCATCAAGGCCATCAAATAAAGAAACAGAATTCCTCTTGATGCTGTCTCGTTTCCTATCTGGAGTCTTTGCGCCACCTCTTTTTTCTGCTGTAATTAATGAAAAAAAGTAAATTGATATAGCATTCCGTACCAAGCAGTTTAATTTGTTCAGTAGATTTACTAAGACTTGCATATGGGTTACTCAAAACATAACAACCATCTATCTTCTCTCAAAAACATGTGGCGTTTTGTTGTCATAAGACGTAACTCATAGTACTAACTTAATGATGAAAAACGATGAAACAAAGAACAGGTATACGCTAATCCGAATGAATCGTCACAATGGAAAGACCAATGAGAAATTTTCAATATGTACTGATTGGGAAACACAGAGCATTCTTTAGGTCGTTGATTCAACACAAGTGGAATTTCACTTGGTGTTCAAAAGTATCATATGGATTCTATCGCAAAATGTTGCGGAATGGAACTTGATCTTTAATTATTTAAATGGAAAAACCAATCTGGAAATTAAACATTAAAGACTTGAAATGTAACTAGAAATTAAGCATAAAACCTAGTGAGTTCAATACTAGAATAATTTTAGTGAACAGCGCTTGCATTAGATGATTGTAGTAAAGAATAGTTGAATGAGTACTTAATATGCCATTATGTGATACAACGTATGAACTTGAAATAACCTTTTGCAGATTTATGCCTTGCTTTTTGTGAAGATGCAGAATTGGTACGAGATCGTCGTGATGACCGACTTATTGAACGCTTCCTTTCAAGTGGTTCCAAAAAAAAGTCATCCGAATTCAATTTCGAGCTTACACGTCTGGTTCGTCCAGAAACTAAATGACACTTTGTACCATCAACATTTTAAGAGGATTACTTCGGAAATCAACTTGGAATACTGGAAATTATTAATTTCATTTTTGATACTAATCATTCAATATTCATCGAAATACCGTGAATAGTTTCGGTTTTCAAAAATGATGCAAAGAACGCATGTTAAAAGAATTGCAAACCGCGATTAGTATGAAGGATAGAGCTAGGAGGAGATGGTGAACGCTTTGAGAAATATCCAAGTAAAGGGTCTGATTTGTTGTTATCAATTCCAGCAGCAACACGAATTTCTTGAATTGCTTCAGCGAATCCCTGAACCAATTCAAACAGATGAACATACAAACAAACAAATATGTGAACTGATTATTGTTTTAATTTGAGCATCATTAACCACGGTGATTATTTGAAATGAATACACCAACAATTTGGAATGCAAGAGAAAATGGAATTGACTCTTGCCTACGCCAGCATTAGATAATAGTTTAGAATTTATCTTATGCTAATCTTTAATACTGATACACTATTCAATTTCGAGCAAAACTTTCTCGCGCGAGTGGAAATGGAACCCGCAATATATGAGAATTCTTGTTTGATGCACTAATTTTTGATCAATTTGATATGACAAAACATTTGGGCACTTATGCGTGCATGTGACAAAATTAACCAAGTTAAAAGTTAATTCGAAAGGACCTTTTGTTTCCTGGACACTTCAAATTGCTTTCTGTGTTGAAGATAATTGAAAAGATCAGTGTTTTTCATTATAGCTGTTTCTTTTGTGCCGAAAAACATCACCGAATAACGATTTGCGGGAACATCGATCAACTGCGCGGATGATTGCAAAATCTGAAAATATGAACACCCTATTCAAACCATCCACTAAGGAATTTTCTCGCGTGTTTGTCATTAATCTAACTATTTAGTAATCAATAATTATTAAAAATAAATGTTTCTTCAAGAGTATTGTTTTTTTGCATTCAGGTCAGATGCGCTAGGTTGCAAAACGGATCCCTCCACTTCAGTCTTGTGATCTGCACCTATTGCCCTTTCTCTCCCTCAAATCATTATTACTGCTAACATCCCTAAACCGTTCACAAGTTCCGCGCTCGCTTATTTTCATCAGTTCCAACTTTTTTCATCTATTTTTGTTGTGGCCCATATTTCATTCAGACTCATACATCATATCATACTTGCTTGAATATTGTTGAATACGCAAAACTGGCAAAAAATGTCTTTTGAGTTTCAGGGCAGCATTTCTTCTTCAAGAACACTTCTATACTTAAAAAATGCTTTCCAGTCATACCATTTACTTCTACTGATTTTCTTTTCTATACTTCTTGCAATGCACATCAGCTATCCCAGGCAGATGAATTTCTCAACCTTACGACTGGGCTATTTACTGTATGAGCACATCATATTGTTTCTTCAACCGGCTTATTGACTTTCAGTCCACTTCTCTTGCGTTTATCAATGAATTCTTCGAGTATTGTGCTCGAAACTACATGCTATAACCCATTTTCTCACATACGAACTCTTTGCTTTAAGATCAGTGCAAACAACAAAGATCATGTGATGTTTTTTGAATCTATTTGTCAGCAGTGAATAGTACGTTACATCCGAGATGTTGGCCGGGGACTTGGTTCGTATGCAGCCTATCAACCACTTTCACCAATCGACCACCCGAATGTAAAGCTGCTTTCAAGTGGGATGACCTTCGGTCTTCTTCGTTTTGAAATTGTTACCGTTCATTGAACAACCATCACGAGATTTATGCTCAGTAAGAATACCTGAGGGGATCCGCCTTCGTCATCAATTGCCGTCATTGATTTATACAGACCTTAGATAATGCTGCTTCAGACAAGTTCTAATGCCTTGATCCATGAGTCATTTGCATCAATACAATTACATTTGGTGAAGGAAGAATCACCTTCATGCTGTTATCTTCAGTTGAACGGTTCATGTTTTTCATTTTGCCCGTTATATCAAACTAAGAAATCACATACAGTGATCAGTTCATCCACTTCAGAGCATCATTCATCGCCGATGCGAATAATTCACTTTTGTTTCATTTGCTGCATAAATTTCTCACAGAACAGTTTCATTAAATTCGCTGTATTCATCCACGCACGGCTTCGAATCGAACAAGTTCTAAACCAATCATCCAAATCTGCACTTCGGAAACATCTTGGTTTTGCATTTTCCCCCACTGTACGAACAAGCAATTTTACTGAATCTGATGCGTTCGCACAAACATTCAAGGTAACCCTTGAAATCTGCTCTTCTAGAATTTTCGCTTTTTTAAACGACTGGCCAGTGTTAATTTTTTTTTTCTCTTGAGGTAGCATGCGATAATTGATGCTTGCCTTATCACTGTTAAGAATTTGTTTGAGGCATAAGTTTTCTCAGTTAACTGGACTGTTGAATTCATCAAAAATTCCCTTTGCACTGGTATTAGTAGCACTTCACATCTTTCATGCCATTATCAGTTAAAGTTTGCAAAACTTTCATTGGCAGCGGAAATTAGCCGAAAACTTCTAAAAAGGATGGGGACACAGCAAATTACAGAAGTATTAACCACTGGAAGATGGGGCAATAGGACCGTTTGTTCACATAATGCACTCAGCACATGACCGTTCGGAGATGAGGCAATAGACTATATTAATGCGATGTTGTCAGCATTTTTTCACGCCAACGAAATTGTTTTAGCTCAAAAGGAAGGAAACACTCATTATTATGAATCATCATACCGTGGCAGGCCAGGGCGGAAATCCTTTCATTTTTGCCCAAACAAGATCTCCAGGTTGGTACGTAGTCATTGCGCATGGAATCTGCAATAAATCATTGAGTGAACCGTTATGCGCATAGATCTAAACAACGAAATGAAGCGTAAGTACGTATGAATTTGATTGTTTATTAGCCACTTTTTTGCTTCTTGATACCAGCAATTCAGATAGAATCGAATCACACCGTTATGAGTACATTTTTCATTACGAACTAGAACAGTGAATCTACCCGACAGCAAAATCATTCGATATGCATCAATTCGAGTTGTACACATCGACGCAACGCACCACACACATTCATCACGCGCCAAGCTGTTTGGCAGCTAGTTTGTTTACATATTACAAATAACCCTTAATGCCACTGACACAAGCACGTCTGCGCTCTACCCTACCACTGAAAGGATGGATGGGCGATTAGCAAATGAACGAAGCTGTACAGATCTAGTTCTGGACAGATGGGGAGTTGACATAATAAACTTGGTTCATGTACTCTTGGATGAGTCACAAAGGAGATGTGCTTAGTCGCTTTGTAACGAGGATTTAAAAAATAATAAGAGAAGAACAGGCGCGGAGATTTTGGATTTGATCATTGATTTCCGGAAGTCCTGCTAATTGCTCTGAACAGATATAATGATTGGCTTTACTTATTCTATTCTCCGGCACAACATCGTCTCAGTTTTTTTGTTCGGAAGCGAACTCCGAATATCTGATCACCTAGCAATCTTCGGCACTGATTGTCACCTTCGGTTATAGCAATTAAAAAACTCGTAACTTACCATTTACATGCACGATCTCTTTGCCCCTTCTTTTCTAAGGAATCTTTGCTACAACATGACGCAAATCTTACCTGTTGGAAACTAATCCAGTCTCATTTGTTGTTCAGAGATTTCTATAACTTCAGTTCGTTTCCGTTGTCAGTATTTCTCACTCTGTTGTTATTAGTGATGGCATCGGAACGAAATTTCAATTCGGTTGGAGTCCGACCGAATCAACTTTTCAACATGCCGTATATTGGAATTTCGACTGAAATTCGTCGCATTTTCTTAACCAAACTTCAGTCGGTTACCATCACTAGTCGTTATATGGAACAAACGCCTTCCCATGTAGCTAGATCTACAGCTTGTCAGGCAAACGTCTCCAAGAGCACAAAAAACAGAACATCTCCACAATGTGTCTTGGTTTCTTTGCGTTGTTAATTTGGGGCTTGAGGTACGATATTTCAGGATATGTTTTGTGCATGTCCAATATGCACTTAAGAATTTCTACTGTGAACATCAGCACAAAAGCATCTTATGGTTTATGGATGATCACATTCGTTGTTTAATCGTTTCAATGTTAAATTCAGCGGTCGCGCGACAGTTGTGTTAAGTGTTAAACCCTAGAATCGTACTTGTTAACAGAGAGGAACTTGGAACAAGATTAGATCGTAAATGGTGAAGGAGAAGAACGACTTTGGATGTGTTTCGGATTACGAATGCTATTAGAAGAAGAGTGAAACGAAACCTGGAGAGATCTATGAGGTCAATGGCAGAGTTTTTGGAAAGAAACGAAGTAACAATAAGGAAAGTCGTTTAGGACACATACTGTGTCGAATGTGGGAAAATCCAGCTGTTAACAGATGTAGCTTTTAGAGCCAAATAGAAACTGTTTAAAAAATTACGAAACGAGGGCGCGTGGGTCGCTCGGAAAATCTGTTTATTAAATGAGAAACTCAAACAATCGTATTGCCCAGAATATCGTTGCCTTACTAAAATCACCAGAAAGTATCAGCGCATTGTTTCTAGTTTCCTCTCCCCAGCACAAGTAACTGTTTGTGAGCTACGAACTGAGATGGCAAATCACCGTTGGTTTTATCAAAGAAAAGGTGGCAAGATCAACAGCCAGTGATAAATCGAGCATGTTGTCAAAAGTTTACTGATAGCAATAATAAAAAAGAATTCGGCTTTATCAAGGAACAAGGGAATCACGCAGCAACCAGTTATCAAAGATAGGAAACAAAAACAATTGGTCACCACACTCCATGAATCTGAGCCAATTCCACCTTAACATTAGGAGGTTATTGAAGGCCAATGTGAATGCTGTAGAGTGCATGAACTGAATAAGCGTTTGTTGTTTTGAAACGACTTTCTGCGGATATTCTTACCGTCATTGATGTAAACTCCGTGAAGGGCAGAAACAAATGTATCAAACTCAGAGGTCAGCAAATCTCAGGAGATATGATTCTTAAACGATGTTTATTACTGTGTGGCCATACTAACAATAACATAGCAAACATAAAAAAATTATGCCCACATCGAATCACCATAGTTAAAACGCAACATGTACTGATCCTCGTTTGATGGAGTTTTACTACATGCACTTGACGGAATATCAGCACGCCCACGTAACAAATCTGCCACGTAGCAGACGTATAGAAGTTGACCTTTGTTGCAATTATCAAACTCAATCTCAGTCAGTCGAAAGTAATCTTGTAAAATATAAGTAGACAACGATAATAATAACAATAATAATAATGCTATTAATATCCCAATCTGATTCATATATACTCAGCAATCATCAAGGAGATACCTTAACCATCCTCGGTACATTCTTACTCATACAATTCGCATTCATGCTGCCACTGGACATTCAGTTTAAAATCCCATTTGATTGGTGCACTTATACAGTTGTGTTATTAGCGCTAGAGTTTAGACTGTAATGATGAAACAATTTTAACCGCAATGTGATGAATTACAAATTCAACGAGATCAAACACTTTATATTTCATATTTTTTGCACACTGCGCTAATGAGCAGTCATGCTAGCACACAGTCAACAATACGAATGAACACAAATACCAACTCTGCAGTGAAAAAATACAAACGGTACTCTGGTGAATGCCTCCAGAAAACTACTGATGTAGCTGCATTTCACACCAATTTAAAACAAACTGAAACTGATCCTATTAATCTAATTTCTAAATTAATCATGTTTGTTGTGTTATCACGTTCAAAATCTTTAAATTTGTTCCGTTATTTTTCATTTTTCCACCACTGACTGTGAAATTTTAAATTGTTTTTTTTATAATTTCGCCACTAAATTGCCTACTGTATTGAAGAAAAGAAAACTATTCGTGCTGAATTTCATCGTACTTCCACAACGAAAGTTAAACGAGCAAATTTCGCATTCACCGCTATAAATTTCAACGGATCGCATAGATAGCTGTTCAAAAATGACGTTTCGGGGGTTTACTACGACCAGCATATATTGTTAACAAGTCTAGGATTTTCCGAGTAATCTCTGCAAAATTCTCTACACATTTATGCACATCTTCAATTTTGCTTCCTCACTTGTTTGCAAAGAGAAATAAGGCTGTATTGATGTTGTTCATCATTCATACTCGACGTCTTTTCACCGTGTTGTTACGTTGAGATGAAGAACGTATTGTGTTACCGCGTGAGATTATTCGCTTTCTGAAAGAACGATAATGGCTATGTATCATGCAAACATTACGCTACAATGAACAATACCTGTGTGGTAAACAACCCACCTTTGAAATGAAACGAAACCGCTACTCTTCCACGACGTTGTTGCTCTTGTACTATGCTGAAACTGCACAGAGAAATAAATTTTTAGATAACCACATCAAACAGATACAACAAGAATATATCTAAAAGTGAACAAACATTTTAAAAATCAACTGCACACACAATTATTTCCTGACAATGACCAAACAACAATAATTCGCCTCATGTCTAATAAGCAGCCTTTCAAACAGCATAACCGTCCACCAATGCTTGAAACTGAACAACATTCGCTTCTAATAGAAAACACAATATTCTGGAGAATAATTCTGATGTCAAACTAATGAAATCTAGTTGAAATTTAAGATAAATGATTCCTATAACCTCATGACTGAGTCGTACCTGTTCTCAATAAGGTTATATTTACAAGAAATGAATCTGTAAAAAAAGAAGAAAATCAGAATACCTTTGACGTCAACTGACGTGAACGAACGAAACTTTTGGTGAGACTAAAATGAATATGATAATAACGATTGAAGCAATGCGTATACTCGAACCAATCAATAATGCATGAACATTTTAAATTATCAATTCTAATGCAATCAATTTTTGGACTGCAATTCAAATTCTGAGCTGCATTTAAACATTTGAACAGAGTGCTCCAATTGCCAGAAGTATCATTAAGACAATCAACTAGCAAGTAATAGAACATAATTTTTTTGGGTATTCTAAAATTTTCTCAACTAAAAATTCATTTTGAAACACTCACGGAGGAAAACCAGGGATTTCCTGGTCAAGGAATCCTTCAGAAAAAAATTCTTGGGCAATCTGCTTGACATCAACAGCCATCATGGGCGGATCGAAATCCGTATCGCACAAAGTGGTGGTTATCCTTCGAATTGAATGAATCGTTAGCAGGTGTTCATGAATGATGCCAATATTTTCTTGGGATCAATAGAATTTTGAGGAAAAGCATGGTAACTAAACAGATAGATCATCATTTGAAACTTACTCATCACATATCGCTGTTTTTGAGAATGCACTCAATTCTATGAGTGACCTTTCAATTTGCTGCGCGATATTATCGGCAGCACTCCATGCTTCTTCTTCAGTGAATTCTTTCTCTGCAATCATGTAAAACCCACGCAAATTGATAAAACTGATGGACTGAACAACGGTGTATATCTATTAAAAGAAAACGTTGTAAATATTTCCAACGGACTGACATGCAGAAACTGCAGTTAAGTAAGAGACCGAATGCAGAGAACAAACCAGTTTCACTTGTTTCAGACGATTTTTCCAAGATTTTGATGATATCTTCTAATCGAGATAAAACTGAAGAAGAAGGGCAACCATAATCGCTTTTCTGTTGAAGATGCATTGTGAATCGTGATAACGGATGCTCCTTACAATTATCTCCGTTGTGTTCATCGGCTGCCAATGGCCAACGAAGAGCCACACACAGCCAAGCATTCGAAAGACAAATTGTTTTATACTCGAAAAATGGGATCGAAAGGCATAGAATAATCGAGTAGAACAATCGAAAATGTTGAATAACAAATGGACGCTGAAGAAACGAACTTTAGAGAAGCAGTTCTCGAACAATTTCAACAGCAGCTCACCAACGGTATTCAATAGATCACTTGAATGAATCGATTCAAAACGACGAATAAACGTCGTTAATGAACCGGATTTCGATGCGAACGCTCGCTCTACCTAAAGATAAATTGCATTCATTACACATCGCCGATTCATGCAAACAATTTGCTCTCGGATATAATAAAAATTTACCTCCACACAATCAATTATTCAAAATTGCAAATACCAGCATATCATTTCAAAAGACATTAAAGCAAGAGAATATACCAACTCCCCAATGAAGTGGAACCAATCGAAAACAGTTCAAGTTGTTTATGGCAATTTGTATTCAAACCATCACTCAATTGAGCAAAATGTAAGTAGTGGTTTTGAATTCATTTCGTAAAAAGAAGTAATTGAAGCATCAACTTTCTATATTTATAGAATTTGATATTTCAATGTGATTCGTTTAGTTGGATGGAACTGAGCGTTGGATGAGAAATGTATAAAGCAACATGAAATTTTATTGGTGCAGAGAATGAAATGAAGGAAACACGCAATGAAAAGAACAAACAACTAACAATGGAACGAGCGTGTTTTGAATTTTCACAAATTGTGATTAAGGCGTTCATACATGGTACGACGGTGTCTAGAGATTGTTCAGTTTGTTGGATATGTTCACAAAGTGCATTACATATGGTCACGAATAATTCATGTGGCAGCAGTGGAATTCGTTCATTCAGATCATCCCTGCACAAGCAGCATAACTCAACGAACATTTTCTGCAACATTTGGTCGATCATTAACAATGTGTCCCTTTCCGAGATATCTTTTGAGCTCTTGAAATTAGTAGCACTTTTTGAACTATGTCAGTACAATAAATCTTAGTAAACTTCAGTTTTTTGTTGAGGACACTGATCGTCATACTTTCAAAAATGGCAATTCCCAACCTTCAATGAAGCATAAATCAAACGATCAGTTACAAAATCCCGTTCTTCGCACTTGCATTTCTATGCAAATCCTTTTGCACTAATGTTAAGTGGAGGCTAGAAGATTCAAAAGAAGATCAAACGGAAGACTAACGATAAGATATTTTTGAAAGATGACATGTGAAACAGTTTTAGGACTGGCAACGTTGTAGAATTTGAGTGAGGTTGTAATGAACAGACTTCTTTTTGAGAGAACGTCAACGAATGACGCACAAATGCTTTTATCGTGTAAGCACTGAAACGTGAATGCGATCATTGCAGCCGTTGTATAATCAGTTGCTGCCCCGAATCGAACTTCCTCGTTGATTAACGACTTCAGTTGCAAATCATCACTTTCATTTTCGAGGGCTTTCAGAATGGAACTTGTTGATGAAATCGACAATGCACTTATTATCTGTTCGAGCAATGTTCTAAAAATGATCCTGTTCATTCACTTTCATATTGATCATCCATCATGCAAGTGCATTCAATCGAAGAGCACATCAAAATACTTTTACAAATAATTCATACTAAAGAAACATAATACTTTTGATAATGGAACTGGGATGCCGAATGAGCAACTACTGAATATTTTTCAAGAGAGACGAGCTAGCTTAAGATTGTACTGCTGCTGGTAAGAAATGAACATTTTTAGCTTCAAGAAATAAGTAAAGAACGACGAATTCATAACGAACTCAGCAATGAATCTAGCCATATCGACGCCAAGGTGTGCTAAACGAATGAGCAATGCGATCAAATGTGAGCGCAGTAAACATGAACTGCTTATACCCAACTGAAATTAAACTTAGTAATGCGAAAGAAAATTTCTCTTTAAGAAATGTTATATGAAAGTGGATAACACTGAACAGACAACGCCCATGATCTGCGATTGTTACATTGATTTCATAAGAATCTGTTTTCCAGAACATGTTCTTCTCATAAAGTGACACTCTTTCATCGGTTCGTTTTATGCTTTGTACAGTTCGCTGAGAGAAAAAACGCGAAATACAAACCAATTTTAGAAGTAAATGAAAAAGAAAAAGAAAAACTAAATCACTTTAAAATGTGATTAGTTATGAGCAATAAATCGTAAGACAACGACCACACGATATAAATGGATTGATTTTGGCTGCTTCAGACAAAAAGAGCAAATAAAACAGACCGAAATAATGAATGACAGGTGAGGTCTGAACTGCAGCAGATGATGCATCCAAGAGGTCCGAGTCGACTCTAATAATTTGAACTGTTTTTGATTGAAAACCTCATCACATTCAGCAGCATCAATGTATGGCTGAGGTATTAGACGTCTGACAATGTCGATAACGGCCAGAAATGTTTGTGGCTGAGACATACCATAATGGAGGAGTCGATCGAGCGCTATTTTTAATGGATTGCTCATCTAAATTACCTCTTTTTATGTTTGATGGTCATATTCACCTTACGGCTATTACACAATTATTTTGCTATAAATTCATCATTAATTTGACTTATTTTCAGCTTAAATATTGAGAATTCTTCATAGGGGTCCATCACAGATAATAGTTATCTTGAAAGCAATCGATCAATCGCAAATCTTTCGATACTCTTGATAATAAGATATTCGGTTTGTTCGCGATTTACTGACTTTTCGCAACATCGATCCAAATTGCAACAAAATGAAATTTGAAATAAACGGTTACCGAAAGTGAAGCCTGTGTAGTGGTTACGAATACGGCCAAATTTGCAAGAATCAACCGTCGTATTCGCAAATGATCAGCTGTTTTACCAAAACCACATAACGCATAAGTATCCACCATAACGTCCACTGCTGATACATCAAGTAACTGCAAAGATGAAAATGAATTCCCAAATCAACAACAAATGAACATAAAGACGATTCATGCGTAAATTCATCGAAATTATCAATTACAACATATGCGAATTCATTTGAAATTTTGGGAACACTGCGTGAGTGACTAAGTGAATGCACTGTTGGAGTATGTAATGAACTGATGAGATGATCAGAATCACTGTTTAAAAAACACAACACTGAATCATTTTTTAGGCTGCTTGTATTAATACGTTCAGAAATAGAAACAGAAACTAACGAAAAACATTAGTGATTAACCTTTGAGATTGATATGAACGACTTATGAAGTTTATCGATGAGATGTAACGCTGAACACACCAACGAAACATAAATCGATGGATCACCTTTAAGCGAACTTCGACTCTCAGTCGTTGAACGAGAATACATAGTATTCGCCAACTTAATTAATGCTCGAGTACTATAATTCTTGAAATGTTTACACATTTCTTAGTACACAAGTGTTCGCGTGTGAAATTTCACGAAACTAATTCCAGCAAATAAGATAAATTAAAATTTAAAAAAAAACAACGAACAATTGTAAATTATTGGCGATATTTCTGAGATTCGCTTTCACAGTGTATTATTTCCGAAATAAATTTAACTGCTTATATCCAACCACACCTTCGTATTTATCAGAATAAGTTCCATCCGATATGGTTACATTCTGATGCATAACTTTTGAGCAATAAAAAAAGTTCATTTGAATGAGAACGATCATGACAACAAGAAACAAATTTGAAAATACTTTTAATAGCTGTATAACTTGTTGCAATCCGCCTTCATCATAAAATATTGTGACGATCTCATAGTAACGCTCGCTCTGATTTGCTTTCAAATCTACAAGTTCGATAATATTTTATAAGATTGAATCGATTCACCGCTGTTTGCAACCAACTGGTCGGAAAATTTTCATAAACTAATGACACGAAAAAAAGATTTTGGAGGGAAAAAATGAAAAGAATACCATCGTAGTGTTCATCAAGGATTGTGTTAATTAATCTGAGCACAGTTATTACTGAAAACGGAGGTTCACCAGAAGCAAATTTATTGGTATATGATGTTAATCTGCAAAAAATAATAATAATAATAAGACATTTCTTAAAGAGATAAATGAAGATGCATGAAAGTCGTAATAAAAAAAAAAGAGTTAAACTTCTCCTCATTTACGCTAAATTTGTTAAGGCCTGGATTTAGCGAGCAATAGTGTAGACAGAGTCATTGCAAGGAAAAATTATGCTCAGAAAATTGAATAGCAATGCTCTCTAGATGATCACATGGAGTAGTTTTCAATACGACGACAAACTATAACTGTTGCAAGATAGTATCTGTAGGCCCCTGAAGGAGAGTATTCAACATTTTTCTGCGTTCAAATTGATATTGATCTCAGCTTAATTCAGCCAGCATCCTCTTCAACAAATGATCAAGTCACAATTCTTCGTTTATGGGCAGTGCATAGCTGCGTTTGCATTTATGAGGGATTAATTTCAGAACGAAAATACCTTTGAAGTAAAAAATGAAGTGCACTCGCATTCGACGCATGCGATAGCGTGTAACGCAGTGGATCTGTCCACTGCTTCAGTGAAGTTGCACTAAATTACATTACAATCACAAAGACGAACCTCTTCGTAAATATAACAAACATTTTTTCATTGATCACCTACTGAATTATGCTCATAGTTTCGTGGTTATACGAAGCCGATTCAATGAACGGATAATAAGAAACATCAAAAATGTAATTCAATCGTCTCAAATAAACTAATTATCATATCACATATTTCACTTTCTCGGTAAGTGACTGAGGAACTCATAATTAAATACTGTAAAATGAAGGATGGGAACAATAGATAACAAGATACGCTGATATGAAACTGCTGTCGATAAGACGACATAAGAAGCCACCGTATGTCCGCCAAAATGAGCCGTTTGATTGCGATCGGGCAAGAGTAAAAAGGATTTCACAAGCATACCCATAACTTGCTGACTGACGCATTCGTACTTTAGCTTCATCACTTGCCTTCATTTGATATGACACATATTATTTTCATTGTCATTACGATTCAAATAAAAACTGGAGCATCTATTCCAGTTCAGTTGGAACTTATTCACATATTCTGGCATCGTCAAACTATCACAAGTTGAAAAAATATCGAGCAATGCTGATATATCAATTTTGATAATTGCTATAATATCAGACATTAAATTTGATTGATCAAACAATCCATTGATAATAAAAATAATTACGGTGAACATGAATTGATTAGAGCTAAAGATAGCAAGTGGCTGGAACTGTATTCACAAAAGAACGAGTAAGACAAGAAAAGAAGTAGTAAATGGTTATCAAATGAGAAAAGAAACAAACATTGATGGAGTCGGTGGAAAGCGTAAAAACTTCAAGAAGATATTCCATGGAGGATGCATATGAAAGAGCGCAAGTGAGTGCTTTCAAACCGTTCGATGTTACACAAAACATCAACATCTGTTGCAGTACCAAAATCCGCTCTTCACAATCCAATTCATCGCTTAAATTCATTGCAAATGCGACATCTTATTGAATACTCCACATCATAACTATCTCTTTCGTTCAACGCTCATGTTACTTCTGATAAATGCTACTAATTTGCAACACTGTAGTTCATTTTGAAACAACTTTTACTGATAAACTGTCCAGAAATCTATGTGATGAAGAGATTTAGTTTGATGCAATCTTAAAAATTATTTTACTAGAATTTTTGATTATATGGAACAACCAAAAAATCATTACTAACGATACCAACGATTTTTCACACGAACGAGAACAATGTTCAATAGCAAATATGCATTACTAAACAACGCAAAAGAATAGGTTGCGTAAAAACTCCAATTCTAAGAAGAATATAAGCTGAATTATTAGTATTGAAGAAATGAAAATATGGAGAAAAAATATTCTCGAATGAAAGAAACAACCATACCGTTGATTGGTGAGAGCCAAATTGTTGATCAGCTGTAATGCGTGCAATGCATACGGCAGAAGACCTTTTTTTGACTGTAACTCGCTCTGAAAATAATTGAATTACAGTTGCGAAGTGAATCGACATTCATTCTTCATGCATTTATTTATGTTCATTATTAAGAAATAAACAGAAATATGACAAAAAAGTTTACTTGATCAGAATCGTGTTTTGGGTCGTCATTTGAACAAAGATCCAGGATTCTGAGCACGAGATTAGCGACCTCGATTCTAGTATGAGCCAAGAAGACGGCGCCAGTGATATTCTTACCATCATAATCTATTAAAATCTTCAGCAATCGAACAGCACATTGCCGAATATCAACACGCATTTTGGTTGATGTCACTATCAAACACAAAGATCGTAAAATTTCGCTGCAACGAAACATTTTTCTTCAAATGAGACAATGATTTGGTAGCAATCGGACGGAAGGAAAGGTGACTGATCGCGAGAGTCGAAATTGCGTTGCAGGATTTCTTAAAAGTACATGAATGGATGATTTCTTGTCGAGTAAAACAAATATGTATAAGCAATAATACAACCTGGAAGGCAAAGTTCAACGATATCATGTTGGATATTGTTTTATTTCGGGCATATTGTGAGTGAACCGAACAACAAATATAAATTTACCGTTCATCATTACAAAGAAATTTTATTTGAAATTGATTATTGTCAAACTTTTTGATTTGAGGGTAATGAATACACCGCCTTGAAAATGAGATTAATTTAAGAATTATGAGAACAAGTTCAGCACTGACCTGTCATGTAAAGACCTATACATGAAACACTTTGGATTGGTTTTCGTTTTTGGCCATTCTGTGATAAAATTAATCGTTTTCGTCAAGGATTCGAGAAGTTTTATCGAGTGCTCTGTATCGCTTTCACGATACGCTTGTGGAGTTGATAAATTTCGGATCAGAAACAGCCAATACATAAATGCACAATAATCAATGATCGAACGTAATCGTAATACCACATAAATGGGTAATTCCTTAATTGGATATAATACATGATCGACATTTTAATTGTTTGAAACGCAATTGAAACAGCATCACAAGCTCAATCAGGGTCAGCTGATTAATAATCTTCGTGAATTCACTTGAACAGTAACGACCGAAAGAATGATAATCTTAGCTAACAAATCTACAAATCCAAAGAAGAACGCAGAATTGCGCGGAATTTTATACAAAACTATCTGACAGATGTTACATAAGAAATGTCGAAAGATGAAAAATAATAAGAGACGAATGAATGAAACTTCAAAGTTACGTTTGCGTGGAGTAAAAGTTGAATGATCCGTGCATATGGCGTCGTATGCGTTTCGAAGTCAGTTTGTTCAAACATTGCATATACACTGACGTCCCAATAGAAGAGTGATGCGAACAATGTATTCGTCGCTTGACAACGCATTGAATTACTCAATTTGTTTGAACATATCAAGTCGAGTAATCGATGCATTAAACGGCGTTGCTGCAACTCACAATAATAATGCCCATTCGAAAAATTAAGCGATTTCAGTTTTGGAAATTCATTGTGAACAACAAAGACTGGTTGTCGTCATTCCTTTATGATTCGAATCTAAGATCCTTGATGCAAACTTTCAAACCAATTTCACAAACACATAACCAGTAATCGAGTCAAACATTGCTTATTCTTATGATATATATTCAGTGGTACAAGATGGTTAACAATGAATAAATTTATAATGAAAAAACAACTCACAATCAATGCACTCGCTAATTGCCGTGGTCGCATTAATAGTAATCGTTCCGTAAACCGACAACCAATATGAAGATGTGTTTCATTTATAATACCACTGTTATGAAACACCATCTGTTCATTTAAACAAAATTCTACCCAATCACACAACTTCATCTCCACACTACCATCCTCATCTAAAATTACATTTTTCTCAAAGCACTGATATTCATCCATCCGTTCAGCCATAATATGAGTTATTCATAACATCACACATAATTTCTGGAGAGTATTCACTCCCTGAAGTTCAACAATCCGTCCTCAATATACAATTCGACAATTTCTTGTTACCTTACATTTTCGAAGTTTTACTTCGCCATTCAATCAATGACTTTTCAAAAATAATCCTGTCTAAAAACATCCAATAAATCGATAAATCAAACACCGTCTCGTAATAGTAAATACGATAATTGCGTATTTACTACTATTTACTATTACGCTTATATAATAAATTTATTTGCCAAAGAAAATGGTAAATCTTTTCGTACTGATTAGTGCCAGTTCAAAACTCTCACTGAACATTTCAATCAACTAACATTCACTGAAATTTTCATCGATATAATGACGTATCGATGAACATAACGTTGGCATAACAAGTTCAATTCTTGAAATCCACTCATCACTGAAATTTCACCATGAAAAATTGCCACTGTTGAATATCAATAAAATTTTAGTGTTTCATTTTACATCATTTGGATGTACGAGACAGTTTACTAGCGACGAGTAAAACAACGAATATATTATGAACTGTCGTTAAAGATTTACAAATGTGAATAAAGATAACTCACTTTTTATCTAACAAATTTTCTTTGTTGAAATCCCGAAGAGCATTGCAAAACAACTCGTAATCACTTTCACAAAAATTTTCTTCATCATCTGGATGATCCCACGGCCGTTCTATGCACTGAAATAAGAATATACAACAAATTCACCTCCTCATTTTCAACTGATGCGGCACTGATAGAAAATACGTTTCAAATTCTTTACGATGAAACATTCCTACCAAAAGCAAAAATGAGCTATGTGGGCAAGTCAAAAAGTTCACGGAAAGTGGTGTTTTCCAGATTCAGATATACAATTAGGTACGACAATTAACGTTCGCAGGAAAAGTAGAAGCAGTAAATATGCTTAGTAATAAGTGGATACTTCAAGTTACATTCGAGTTGTAGCATTGTCCTGTGAACTTTATGGCTTATGCACGTATTAATGTTTGAAAGAAATAAAATAATACAGTTAGTTTATGAATTTTTATGGTTGAAGGCTGAAATGGTGTCGTTATTGCATCTAGAAAGTTATCATCGTTCACACTATCATCCACTTCTGCATCCACTTTTATAGATTCTTCAGCAACCTCATCAATCAACTCATCCAGTTTTGAAGCTGTAAATAAAGTATTTTTGAAAAGTGATCGAAAAACCATTTAAAGCAGCATCAATAATTCTATCAGGTTGAATTTTTGCAGACAGAATTAAGTGTTCCAATAAAATCGGGAAACTAGGGTCAACATCAACTAGGAACGCAATATGATTACATTTCACGCTATATCACCATCCATCAACAACAGTTTTGCAACTGCATACTTTTAGTCTCATTCTTATTTATTTTGCAACCTCACCTTACTTCAATGAACTGCTTTGACAATGCCGCATGCAAACTGAAGGATAATGGAGCCCGTAACTCACTGTGCATTTTACATTTTAATGCTACATTTCAACATGTATTCTCCATGCATACCATTTTAATTGAGACCAAAATTGCACTATAATCGCACCCATCACATTGGCTTAAATGGAAACAGTATCCACTGTTGAACACGAAATCCAATGCAAAAATACATGACTGGCATGGCATGCTACAGATTAAACAATATTTTTCAATGTTCAAACTGCAAAGCTTTTTTTTGCACAGAAATGAAACCTAACCATCCGATTCATTGTCATCATGTTTCAAATCATCCTCGCTCACCGTACCGTCAACGCACTCTTCCAGTATAACTTCTTCGATATCGTTACTCTTTTCCCTCACATCTTCTTTCCAATGTTCAGTACCATCCTCCATCCTTAAAAAATATTCCACCCACTTCACATCAAGAACGAAACTCAATCGCATCAAGATAACAAAGCTCATCAGAACGTGTCCCTTATTTAACCTTGTTAGATTTGGTAATAGTGTAAGTTGGGATATCTTTGTAGCCATGATATTTTTGGTTCCATCATCAAACTTCATTTCTAACACGCATGCTTTAAATAACATGAATAGTGGTTGAACGCAGTGTGCACAAGTAATAATATTACTTTGAAACATTTATTGATAAGGAATGATAAATTATAATAAACATTGCGTGTGACACAGAAATCATTTTCTATTAATTGGTTCGTTCTGAAAGTTGATATTCATTGCATTCAAGTAACCGCTTATTTCCATTGGGCTCGACAACCACTCATATTCACATTAAATAGCTAGAGCTTTGACTAACAGAACGAATTATAGGTGCCTACGACAATTTCGTCCGCGACAAAGTGCCACTCCGACAATTCGCGCATGCCTTATCATTGAGTAGTATGCGCGTGCTCCATCATTTTTATCGGAGATTAAACTTGTCGCAGACGTATTTGTCGGTCATCCAATTATAGATGTACGGGAATGTTGCGGTGACGATAATTGCAACCTGGACATTTGCAACTCGGATGATTGCATCCATATCGTTTCGGCTTAGGCTTAGGCCACATATTACGCATCATACACGAACATAGTGGTGAACAACTAGTCGCATTGCTCAAAAAATGAGTCGAAATGAATTATGGCGAACAGATGGTCGGCATGCAATCATCCGAGTTGCAAATGCCCGGGTTGCAGTTATCCTAGATCCGACATGTTGACAGTTCACCAAGTGATGGAACTTGGATTTTCAGTCGATGTGAGTTCAGAAGTGTAAATTTCTTACTCATTGAGGAGGAATTAATCCGGGAAATTTATACACATTTTGTAGCGCAGATCCAGGAGAATAAAACATGATGTATACATCTGCCAGCGATAAAGACATGTTCGAGATTTTCTATTTCGCTTCAAGTGCAAAAGTTTAAAAAATAATCTGAACTGTGGTAATCTTGTAGTTCAGGTTGGTAAAATCAAAACACCATTTCGTTCGCTCACATTTGCAGTTGATAAGCCTAAGCCCAAACCTTAGCCTAACCCTAAGCATAAGCCTAAGCCTGAGCCTAAGCATAAGCCTAAGCCTAAGCCTAACTACACCACACACTTAACTGCAAATGTGAACGAACGAAACGCTATTTTGATTTTACCAACCTGAACTACAAGATTACCTGAACTATTATCCACCCGACAGGGAAAATTTATAACCATGGTATATGCCATCTTGTAACCGAGATTAAGTACTACAGAAATCCGCTTTAAACATTGACGCCAATTGTTAGATTACGACAGTTATACCACTTAGCGTGATCAATGGTAGTGTTCAATACTCACAGTTGGCATGTATACTGGAAGAATTGAAATTCTCTCTATCGTGAACATAAAAATTAGGAAGAATGTTGTATATAATCATGTTGCAGTGATTCAGTATTCTCCAAAAATGCAATGAACATTGACGCAAAATATTAAGTTAAGTTACGAGAGTTATGCGGCTTGCCGTGATCGGAGGCGATGTTCGGTAGTCACAATTGGCACATATACCGGAGTAACTGAAATTCTCTCTATTTTTCTCGGAGAGGCACGTGCAAAACGAGATAGTTCTCGCCACATTCACTGCAATGGGAGGAAGCCATATACGAAAAAGTATAAGAAAAGTGGCCGTCGCGAGCAAAACAATTCTGGCAAAGAGTTGTTTTTCGACACGTCAGATCGTTCCAAGCAATACTTTATATCCCTAGTCACGGCTGACGGCATCTACTTGTACAGGTCGCTGAGTCGCTGTGTTAGCAGAACTGAAGATAGCCACGCAACCATCCGACGAATAATTTGTAAATTTATTGAAGCACATAGGAGAATAATGCTTCGTTCTTGAGATACAGCTGAATTTTTGAATGTATGTTAAATATGTTTTGATCAGCACTACACTGCTATAGGAACACCACTAGTACTATATTCTGAGGTTTGCTCCCGTAAGAACGTGGTTTTCTGGTACCATTGGAAAGATGAGGTTTCTGCTATCAGAAAGATGTATACACAGTCGAAAGATTTTTCTTACTTCCAGATGTATGGCTAAGTACGACCAGATTCAGATCATTCGGACCTGTGAAGTTGCAAACCACAGCATGTATTACTACGGCTGGTTTCTGTGCTGAGACGGTGTAAGCTCTGAAGACGATGCGTTTACTTATCAACGATAAATAATTGATATCTCTATACATCAGAATGTCACACTTGAAGCATTCAACGAACCGAATTCATCAGGACAAATTGTGAGAATGCATCAATTTCTGGGAATGCACAGCTAAAACACACGGAAGCATTCGTTGCTGAAAACTAGGGGAATATTTTGCAGCCCACTCAATGAAACAATAAGACAAATAACGTCGGCCGAATTAATGCAAGAAGAAAACGCTTCATGGATTTGTACACAAGGAAGAACAGTAGTACCTCCGAGCCTTCGTGACTACGGTAACTAGCCTCGCCCACAAATTACGCTAGTTAGCCACGTCCGCACTCGACGAAAACGTTACGAATCGAGTAAAGACACGACCAGTCGAAAAATCAGAAACGATCACACACGCGGATCTGTTTAAGTGACGCGGAATGATCAACGCTAATTTATTATTTAATTTAATCTCATGTTGTAAGTGTTAGATCACAACTTGCAAGCTTTGTCGTGCTTACAAGCTAAAGAAAGACCATCTGGACTACGCACATGCATTCATAAATTTCTCGTCATTTTGGCCCCATCCACTTTTAGTAGCCAGCACCAATGATAATATTAGCGGTGAGAATTTCTATGAGGTTCAGAACAGCAATCGGCGAATGGAATCGTTGCATCAAACTGTCCGCTACTGTTATAACGTTGTAATTATAAATAACCTTGTAATACCTTGTATTAATAATGAACCTTGTCGTACCTTGTTATAATATCACCTTGTAATAACAAACCATCAAAATAATTTTAATCAATCTCGAACCTAATCAATTCATATCTATGAAAACAACCTCCTTCTAAACACGACTGAGACCAACCGATTTGTTATAGTATTTGCAAGAGTAATCGCTCATTTCCTTGCAATTCTCAAATTAGTAAATCAGCAAACCAGATACAAGGCAAGATTTTGATACGTAACCTCGCCCACGATGTCCGAGGAGAAACCGAGGTCTTTCCGATGACACACTGCACAAAACGGAAAAATTGAGCAGGAGTCGCAGACGGCATCTTTTTCTGTACAAACCCGCAACTGTTAAACACTGATGATCATTCAAGCCTCCTGATCTCATCGTGGGATTCACCCTAGCATGGATTAAACGTCACACTATAAATGCTTTATTCCTTGTTGCTTCTCCATCTCTACTCTATGCTAACGTCGTTTGAAGAATGGTTTTACATAAAACTGTTTCCTTTCAAGCGAATCCATCATCCTAATCGAGTGTTTTTCGAAACAATCTAAATCGCTGTTCCAAACTTCTTTCACTATGCTGACCTATTATTAGACATATACCTCTAACAGTATGTTGCACTAGCACATTTTCAAAATTGCTTCTCAAATCGATAATTCGAAAACCCTTCCAGTTTCCAGTTTTCCTTTCCCATCTATGATGCAAACAATCGTGGTAGAACCACAACCTATACAGCACTTGAATTCTCATAAACTTACTGCCACTAAACTACAATAGCTGCCAACATGACAATTCTAAACTCGTTAAAACTGAAGATACCGATAGCTTGTGTAATGTGTGGTAACACGTGGAAAAACATTTATGCAGCTGTCACGCCACGCACCACTGGTATTTTCAAATTTATCCCAATATCGGCAAAGTTGTGAGCTTACTTCCAGGCAAGAGCATCAAACTCGAGCCTGACCCTGACATGTGACATCGAATTGTACCCGGGGGCTTCGAGCAGGGTGCCTATGCACTTTGCAATTCCACCTCACTCATGGAATGCCTATGCCTAGCAATGTTTCCCTCCATTATGCCTGGCGTGACAGCATTAAAAACACGATAATGATCAACGACGGGATGAGCACGGCGATGATCGCACGAAACAATCGTATAATAACAACACGAAGTTACATAATTAAAGTTACATAAGCGAAGTTACATAATTACATAAACAACAACAACAGCAACGGGACAATCAAACAGATATTCACATTAACACGAGATTTCAATGCCCATATCCAATCGNACAATTCCAAATAGGATAACACGGATAAATTCTAACTGGATAATTTGAAAACGAAATCGAATCAAGTCAGCTGCCATCGTTTGGGTTCAACTCAAAAGTACTTTGAGTTCAAGTCATGCTAATGCTAAGTATAACTTGACTCAGGTCTTGCTTCCTCTAAAAGATATAAGAGCAATCCGAGGAATACTACCTGGCCTTCAGTTACCTATGTTATCACCTGGTTGCTCGAATGATAAAGCTTGAGAAAATCTCATGACGTTACCCCAAAACGCTACTTCAAAAACACTAATTACCTTTATAACCTACACATCAGCACATTCCAACCTTGAGAAGACGCTGTGCAAGCAGCCAAGAGAAAATTCTAACCCCTATGCACAAATCAAACCACAGTCATCCA